CTGTCTTAAGCAGTACCATCTTAAGCTCCCAAAATCAATGTTAGTTGTATTTTTGAGCAAGTTTTGGTGCATTAAATGGTCAATCAGAGCATAAATTGGGAGTCATCATTTTTTTCAAATATCCCTATTCTGTGGAACCTGTGTTAAGTGGTCACTCCACCATTCCCCATGGGCAACTGCTTAATACAGGTTCAACAATATGTACCACCTTTACCAAAATAAGCCCTATGCTTGGGTCACACAAGTTTATTAAATGCTACTGCACATGGTCCCACATTTTAAGCTACAAATGATCTGTATGTTACAATGATGGACTACTGAGATACCCCATCCAGTACAGTGATGAACATGGAGCTACAAGGCTTTATAAATTCATCACAATGCTATGCATACACAGCAGAAGTTTGTTGATTATCTGCCCTAGGTATAAATTTTTAAAATCAACTGCTAAGGTTCAATCAAAATAACAAAATTCTCCTACCAAAGCTGGCCAAAGGAGAGGTCTCTTTGGATTGGAGGGGTCTGGTCTCTGACTCCATACCATGCTCTTTTCCACCAAAAATAACCTCCAGCTTCCATCATGAATTTTAAGCCATTCCCTAGTTGTCCATTCTTCATCGTCATACTCAACTAAGACCTTCAATAGAGAAGTAAAACAAAACATTTAAATTGGTTTTCAGACTAACATATGTAAGGCATATACTATAATCATGCTTGTAAATGATCCCATCTGGTCAATCAATTGAATTAACTTTCCATTAGTTTGCCACCTCAGTAATCCAACTGGGACTCTGGAAGATACTCTAAAAAGTTTGTAATCACATGCTGATGGTTATTGACTAATAAACTTTTCAAGTCTTCTCCCAAAATCCTAACCAATGACAGCATGCATTATATACAAATTTTTACTATAATCTAAATTAGTTGTGGGTTTAGCAGAACTTATGCAGATGGGCTCTGTACCAATCAAAACACGTGGAAAATCTCAGTCTTTTAGATATCTAGCACAGCTATTTTTTGAAAATCATAGAGCCCCAATGTCTTGGTGAGAAATTCTTACAGTGCTTATTTAACTAAGTAATTTTTTATTAGATCAGTCCAGTTGGAAAAGGAACTCTCTTTCAAAGTATTTTGTTTAAATAAACAAACATTGTAACTGGTCTCAAAACACACTGTGAATAAAGCTGATGAAGCACCCTTGAAGAAATTTTAAGTCTTCCTGAATAAATCATTAATAGTTTGGTGAGTTGAAAACAGTTACCTTCATTGTGCAGAGACAGACCTCTAAAGCAGCACAATAGCCAAAATACAATGAGTCAAAAAAATGTGTTCAGCGCTGAATAGAACTAGGAGAATTTAATTTCTTGTTGGTATAATTACATCCTTCATTAATTCCCCATTACCTAATCTCAATGTAATATAGGAGAGAAATCAAAATATTTTCCAAGTATTCATGTTTAATACCTGTCTTTTGTTGTTGATCTTATTACAAGCTGATGTTGGTGAAGGTTACAATAATGTCCCTTTCACTGCTTGAAATTTCTTCCAGTTTCCGACCCTTTACTTAATTTAAGTGGTGTATGGGTAACAATTAAACGAGGTCAACAGATCTGTGCACAACTATTGATACGATCGGTTGAACTTATATCTAAAGCCAACGAGTAAGGCATATAAATAGTTATTCGTTTACGGGCACAATACAAGAACAGTTGATGCTGAAGACACGCGATCAAAGACATCATTAGACGAATAGAACTACGAAGGAATTAAAATAAAATCCACATATTCCAATAAAATACACCAATTTCCTAATGTTAGTGGATTTAATGTACATTTCAACCCGCGATCACGCACGTTTAAGATAAGTCGTCACTTCACATTCAAGAACTGGTATTCATTTGGACACAAGATTTAATACATTTAAAAGAATTAAGTTATTTAACGTGATCTAGTCAGCAGAGAAATGTTACTCAACTCTTCACTGCAGGATAGATTCAGCGTTAAGAAATTTCATGCTCCGGTGGTTTTGACAAAGCCTGCATTTTCACGAAGTTTTTATATTCAGTTCATTGGAGAGTACTAACGAGTGAACAATTCAACACCAGTTGCATTTTAGCCGGTGTACCGTTTATTCAAAGTCTTAAATATGTACCTTTTGTCTACTAGCGGAAAATCAGCTAAGAATAGACCGTTTTGTTCTGGGAGATCGACTCTCATTTTCAAACAAATGCTTAGTATGTTCAATGAACAGTCGCAAGCAATGCCAACCAGCTACAACGTTGTCCACATCGACAGTGAAAACTGAAAAAAAAATTCCCTAACCTTTAGCTCTGGATGATTGAAATCCTTTTCGCTGCAAACCCTGATTACTCCAACTTTCCACTGATAGTCCAAAGGGTTTGCCACACGCCTTGATCGAGAGTTTGGGCGAAGAGTATTTTTCTCCCGGACACACAAAAAGCGCTTACCAACCAACTCTGCCTGACGGAAAGCGTACATAGTGTTTCGCGCTCTCCATCAAACACGCAACTCTCTCGAGGACCACAATAAACCCATCAATAGAAACAGAATCGATTGAAAACTTTATGGATTCTTGCTGAAGAAGAAGGCGTTTACACAAAACAAACCCCTTTCAAACACGCTAAGGGAGAAGTGTCTGAACGTTCAAACTGGCCATCACAAATGCATGACTCTGAGAGAGCTGCTCATTGGCGCGTGTGCGCTGGACTTGTATCTGCGGGCTCAGATTTGCGAAAGCTGAGGACAACTGGTCGCGAGCAAGGCCGTTGGTGATTCACTGAATGCTCTTACAAATGACAACATCGGAAGTAAAGGTTCTTTGAAAGGGGTGGTTATCATCCCCTGCATCCAGCTACCCCGATGAAAAAAAGAAATAGATTTTGATGGTAGGAAGAAGAGTCAAGGTATCGTTTGCGAGTGGTGACCCACGACAAAAAAAAAACCTGACTGTTAAATTCGTTAAATGCCAAGGAAAACGATGTCTACCAGAAAAGCTGCCACCCGACTTAAACGCTTTATAATTCAAGGCATGAAAATCTTACACCCCGTGTGCAGGTGTGGATAAAAAGGAGGATCCAACATGGGTTCGGCGGGATGCGGGATGAGACTTGAAATCGAGGCGGGCTGTGGAATGAGATGAGAGAAATTTTAAATGCAAGATGCGGGATGAAAATTGGAAGCGAGACCAGGATATGCTCCGTTTCGAAGGCAGGAAAGGAGAGAGGACGAGTATAAGCGGGATCATAGTAAAGCTAAAGTTACGCGTCACCCTACCTCACCGAGACATTAGAAAGAATCATCTGCTTTACTGAAATGGGCTTAATTGATGCCTCCATGTAAATTGGGGTTGACAGGCTTCCTCTCTATTACGGTAGTTACAGGTGTTTACACGATCCATAGTATGTCCGGTTTTCTCGCCTTCGTTATAATTTTTCTCTCACAAGTATGTCTGAGTAAACGCCCTTTTCTATATGATATTATCGGCAGTTCTTTGAAGATTTCTCCAAACAATGGTTGTTGCTCATAAGGATTTCCTTAAAGGTTTGGAACTGTTGGTTAGTATTGTGTTCTTACAAAGGGCAAGATTCAACTATTTGTTTTTCCCTGTTGGAGGAGGGCTCGTGTACGTTCTTAAAATTTCACTTCTGAGAATGGGTTGTCGGTAAAGTTTTTCGGGTAGTTTCTCTCTGCCAGGAATGTTTTCTTCAAATTTTTCTTTTGAAAAAGTTGTCTCGGGAACTCGTAACGATTCGCCTTTAAGTAATTCTTTGTTCTCGTTAGGTGATACGTTGTGTTTAATGTGTGTCTCTGCTGGTTTGAAGTGGGTTCTCATGTCGAAACTGACTCCCTGTTGAATCTTTCACCCTTAAAGATAGTGGTGTCTAAGAAAATAGCTTCTGAAACAGATATTTCAGCTGTAAATTTGATTTTTGAGTTGTGTTTATTTGCTTGTTAAATGAACTGGTTGACGACTTATCTGTTGGTGTACATGAGAGAAATTATGCCGTGGATGTAGCGTTTCCAAACGAGCGCCCTTATCTAGCATTTGCATATCAATTTTAGCCATGAAGATATTTGCAAAAGCTGATGGCGGCTCCTTACGTTTGCAAGTAGTTTTGTTCGTTGAATTGGGATGAGTTTTGCTGCAAAATCAGTCTAAGTGCTTTCTCTAGTAAGCGTTTTGGCATGGTGGGGGGGGGGGGGGG